CGAGTAGGCCTTAGGACTGATTTTTGAGTTTATTTATGATAATTGTATGTACCGTAAGCGCGTTTCAGTTCCCGAAAAAAAATTCAAGGAACCTAGGAATTGCTCGTAATCGCAGTAAATCATTTAGTTTTTCGGCGTCAAATCAAGTAAGGACCGCTCACCCTATTTTCTATCATGAAATTAAAATTTAAATAAATGATAATATTGTATTTTGTACAAATTAAATAAATGTGCATAATTAATTACAGATTGCTAATGGAATCTAAACCAGATATTGTTCTCTGTTGATTTCTGTTAATTGATTTTGCAGTCTAAAAGTATGATGGTTTCTGGTTTATCTATTTTATGGTTTAAATGGATGTATTATTGCCTTACTTGACCACTGTTTGATTTTGGGATTTAAGATATGATTGCATTGCCGGATGCATGTTTATTTGTTTATGTAATTATGTTTGATTTGGTAACGGAGACTAAAGGGAAACAAGAAAGGGGTGTGATCTAATAAACAAATAAGATGACAGTCTCATTAGATATCCTGAGAGATTGTAGACGGACCGGGTTAATTGGGAATCCTACTGTGAACGTTGTCTCATACCGGACAGAGTATGGAGACTTGGTAATTTGGCGCTCATACCGGACGAGATATGTGGATGACCCACTTCACTCTCATACCGAATAGGGTATTGAGGTTTAATGTTTTTGCGCTCATACCAGACGAGATATAGGGTCGATTATGTAATTAAGACTATTAAGGAAAAATATTTGCGTGTAGCGGGGACACCCTTATGGATCCTCATGGATATTAGTAGGCTGGTAAAACGAGAAATGGTTATGATTTAGTTTATTGTTAATAAATGTGAATTTATGATATATTTTATGTTGCTGATCGTGCATGCAGTTATGATCTGTATGATATTATTGTTTCTATAATTTGTTTCATAAATTCTCCAATGTTAAGTAAAATGATAAATAGTTTTATTTTTAATAAATGTATTGGTTTAAATTTAATACTTCATTGATTGTTTTTTATTTTCTACCAACTTTTACTTCTGCCCCGATGATATAGTATGATGTCCTTACCGGGTTAGTGTAACTCACCTCTTATTTAATAATTTCAAATCAAGAGAACCTGGTTCCCGACCCCGATCCGCAAGAAGATTGCGAGTAGATACTAAATATTTTATATTTTTTTTTACTTTTATCATTTCTCGCTGTAATGTTTGTTTAATACTTTTAAGTTATTGTATAAAATATGTAAATCTTAATATTTTATTTTACTTCCTCACTTAAATTATAATATATATTTTTTTTTAGATTTCCGATGTCGTTATAAAAGTCTTCATTTCTCGGCTTTTAAAAAATATTTTAAGTAAAATTATATTTTATTTTTATTTTTTATAAAGTAAATTTAAAAAGTGAAACTAAATATTTATGAGGTATGGTTTTTACTTTAAATGTGAATAATTCTTTTAATAAGTATGTTTATTGATCACATAACCTTGATTTGTTATGAATTCTTTGTTTATCATAAATTATTTAAATATTTTTTATTTGAAAGTAAATAATTATAATTTATCATGAATTTTACATTTATCATAATTATTTAAATACTTAATTTAAGATTAATATTTATGTGAAAAATAGATAAAATATATATTTTTTAATTATTAAAAAATAATTAAATATATTTTTTGATAATTTTAACGATTTTTTTGTTTTATCATTTCAATATTAATTATTAATTTTATAATAAATTACATTAGTAATATTGAATCACAACCGTTGGTTTCTTTTGCTGCCGACGTGGCCTCCACAAGGGAGATCATATCTTGGTCTGAACTACCAGCTTTCATACTCATGATTTGCACCTTCGCGTAAAACCCGACACCCGCCATTTTCGTCCCTCTTGTCACTTAACACATATGTCGCCAAGCTCGAGCACGCTCGCTCGAGATGACAAGTTCCGGCAACCTGCGATAATGGCCCCCGACGAAGCATCCGTCTCCATCATGACACAGGCCTTTCATTTCTCATCTGGAAACCCTAGAATCGAAGAGACTCGCGGCGTCATGCATCTATTCTCATATGATGCCGTTCCGTCCTCCGATCTCCCGGTATGCTCTTCTTTTCTCTCACCACTTCCATTATTTTCCTCAGCTTAAAAAAAAGTTTAAAGTTTGATGCATTAAATTAATTATTCTCTCTTTTAATATTGACTTAGGTTGGAAGGAAACCTCTTGTATGCGTGCTTGGGGTGCCGAATCACATGACATATGCAGATTTTTGCCAGTTTTGTGCATCCTTCATTCAACATATATTGGAGATGCGCATTGTCAGGTAACATTTATGGGGTATCCGAACAGTTCTCGGGAGTGCACATGGCTTTGAACACCATTGTAGTGAACGCTGGAACTATTCCAGAAGAGTATTCAGGGATATGGTGTTGATTATGGTCTTAATACCTTGTTCTCTTTTACTTTGAAACAGTGGCTAAGCTTGTCAGATATGAATTTCAAGCTTTAAAATAAAAGAAGCGGAAAAGTAGATTTGAACTTTTTTTTTTTAAATCACAGTTTGATAAATTTGTGAATGATATATAAATCATCACGTCATCTCTGTGTAGCTCCTGAACGTAGCTTGTTAAGTATTGGGTGATGGTTAAGTAGCTACAGAGGAATATCATCGTTAGTGAAACTACAGAATTTCAAGGAACTTGCGATATTGATTTAAGTAGCAACTTGCACAAACAGTAATGCATATCTTGGTTTGAGGTGCACCATATATTATGTCCGTCAAATGTGGGAGTAGGGGCAGACATGCTTGTTCTCAATCATATCTGGATGGAGAATTTGGCTTAAAAAGAGGGAAGAGCTTAAATATCAAATCAAGGCAAATGAAAGGAATCGGTTGCTTCAGAAGCAATTTGACCTCCATGTCTTCCTACTGCTAAAATGATGTATTAATTATATAAGAGATGGGAAAGTACCTAGTAATCAGTTAAGAGTATGTTTTACTTAGTTAGTTCCTTCAGTTGGTCAAGATTGTTACAACTGAAGCAATTTAGGCCGCTCAAAATTATATCCGGTGCCTTGTCCCTGTTATAGCACTTTAAGGTGCTCAAAATCACTTCAATTTTTCTTTCTCTCTTCTCTTTTTCTGTCTACTTATGTTAGATTTTCCTTTCTATATTTCCCTCTATGATTATTACATTGTGTTCTTGGGAAAAGATGGTAGTCTTTGATACAACAAGATCACAAGAAATCATGAGGTTAGACAAAGTCTTAAAACAAGTTAGTGATCTGGAATGGAAAATGGAAATGTTCTGTAAGTGGCCAAAACTTTGGAGCAGTTGAAACAAGCAATAGGAAGGATTAAGGAAGTGAAACAGTTTTTTATTAGGTGAAAATCAAGGTGATTTGGCCACTAGAGAAAGAAATGTGGTGGTGGCACAAATAAATCAAAGAGTGTCCAGCACTCTGACACACATTCCAACCTTGCTCCTAATGTCAATGCAAATTTGATTGTGAATTTGCAGGTTACGAACCTAAGGTTTAGATTTCCAAATTTGAAGCTGATAATTTAAAAGCTTGGCTGGATGTAGAGGGCGGAGAGATTCTTTGATGTGGTAGATATCCTTCCAGAATTAAAAACAAAATTGCATTGGAATGGCATCAGATGTATATGCGGACACGTTGACAAAGGATTGGCCACAGTTGTAAGAATAGGTTGGAAGGTTGCACAATTTAGTTATTTCCTTTGTCAATGTGTTATGAAAGTGCTGAATTGATACCCATCAGTACAAACGAAAAAAGTGATCTTATTTGTTTCAAATCTGTCAACAAACCCTGAATTGATACTCATCAAATATATGCACTAGATGGGTATCAAAAACAACATAATACCATTCATATTATGAGAGTGCTGGGATTATATGGCTATAGGCTTTCCCAGTTTCATTTGAATCTGACTGGTGATCAGCTGATTTGGAACTTGAATAAGAATGGGTCATTCACGGTGAGATCTTTTGTAAGTTTCTTTTAACTAGAGGGGATAGGGGGGGCAGGTTTTCCCAGCGAAGTTTGTTTGGAAAATAAGTGCACCTAGAATTGCGGTCTTTGCTTGGGAAGCCAGAAGAGAATGTATTTTAACCTTTGATAAGCTGATGAAGGAAGAATTGGGGTTAACAGATACTAGTTATGTAAGCAGGCAGCGGAAACTTGTAATCATTTACTTCTTTGGTGTCCAGGGACATATAGCTTGTGCTTTATGATTTGTACTTGGAATTTCTTGGGCTATTGCGGGATCAGTTAAGGAAGAGTTATGGGCTTGGGAAGATTATGTAAAAATAAAGAATTTACTACAATAATTTCTTTGACTTTATTTTGGGTTATATGGAAAGAGAGAAAGTAGGGCTTTTGAGGGTGTCGAAAATGATATTCATAAGTTAAGGGATAGGTGGTTTCATTATTTTGGGAATAGTTGATTGAGTCATGATTTATATACGCTGCAGGATTTTGGGTAAATAGTTGACACAATGACTCACTTGTAAATATTTTGTACATGAGTGGTACTCTCTTGATAACTCTTTTTTAATACATTTTCTACTGTTACATTAAAAAAAATGCTTATAGGCAGGTACATCTAGGAGCAGCCACAATTTTATTGACAGTTCGGTTGCCAATTAGCAACATATGATTGTTTGGAACTTCAAGCATCTTGCTATGGCATTTTTTAAAGATAGGCAGTGGATTAGAATATTTGGTGAATCTGAAGCAGTAATTAAGCAAACGATAGGAAACTGCCTCCTAAAATTGCTACAGAAGACCCAACCATCACATCTATGCTCAGCCCAGTCCACCAGCTGATGAGCATGACTGACATTCTGATATTGTCAAATGGGAAGTTTCTTTCAGCCAATGTGATGATGCTTTCAAATACCAAAAATGTTGCCACCTCATCAAATAAGGGACTGAATAATACAATTCCACCATAAGAGTTAGTGTTCAGCAAATTAATGGTGGAGTTGCTAGAATTAGGGGTTATTCAGCAAATTAATAGTCAATTTTTATCTCCAATTACCTTGGTATAGAAGAAGGACAACACTTGGAAAATGAGCATTAACTACCGAGAACTCAATAAATGGACTACTAAATACAAGTTCCCTTTTCCGATCATTGAGGAACTTTGGATGAGTTAGGAAGAGCTAAATCTCTTTTCAAGGTTGGCTTACAATCTAGTTATTCTCAGATTAGAATGGCTACAGAAGCGACCCTCAAAAAAGAATTCAAACCACGTGGGGGATACTAGGAATTTCTAGTCATGCCTTTGACAAGCGCTCCCTCAACATTTCGAGCCCTTATGAATGATATTTTCAGACATTTCCATAGAAAATTTCTCAAACAAAATACATTATAGCCAAGAAAAGCAAGTGGATTTTTGATACAAGGAAAGTAGAATATCTTGGGTATGTAATAAGTGGAGAAGGGGGCAGAGACAGATCAAAAAAGGTGAAATTGTCAAACAGTGGCCACTTCCTACTACAGTTCAACAGTTATGCACTTTTCTTGGTTTAACATGGTACTAGTTTATCAGAAACTGTGGTTAGTATTGCTGGACCTTTGACTAAGTCTTGCTGGACCAGAATTTTTATTGGATAGAGGAAATAGTACACTTGTTCCATTGGGCTTGAGAAGGCTTTATACACTCTCTAATGTTGGCTCTCTCAGACTTCAATGAAGTCTTTACAGTGAAAACTGATGCTAGTCAAGAAGGACACTGGAGCTGTTTTAATGCAAAAAGGCAGCCTTCATCAGTAAAAGCCTCTTTCCCAAGAATCAACTCTTATCTGTCTATGATAATGAATTGCTTGCTATTGTTTTTGCAGTAACCAAATGGCAGCAATATATCATGGGAAGGGGAGTCATTATTCATACCGACTGCCATTGTGTAAAATAACTTCTAGACAATGATAACTGCAAGTCAACTTAGATGGTTATCAAAGCTTATGGGACTTGATTATGAAATCTGCTACAAACAAGGAAAAGAGAAGTTAGCAGCAGATGTATTATCCAGACTACTAGCAGTAAAGCTGCTAAACTGATCCAACCATTACTAACCTCATTCATAATACTCCTGTCAGGTCAACAAAATCATCAGCGTTCTCTTGGGCTAATGGATTGTTAGAGCGAAAGGGCCACTTGGTGGTGGGATACCATGAAGAACTCATAACCAAAATCCTTGGATCTAACTGCCAATCTAGGTCTCTTACAACCTCAAATAGTCCCAGAGACACCAAATAGATATCTCCATGGATTTGACGAAAGGACTTCCTAAAGCTTGAGGTCGAGGTTCAAGACCTCAAATGGCACCCTAGCTGATTCGGCATATGTATCTAGTTTATGTTTGCTTAATTGATTTATGCTTTTCAATTGTTTGTTCCTTATTTAGTCGGCATATGTCGATTAGGTGCATGATTATTAGCCACGTGGCTATAGGTTGCCGGGGACTGCTTGGTTTTTTTTTTTGGGTTATATCATGTTGGCAATTCTGTTAGACTGTATCCGATGGAAGATAAAGGGAAAAATCTCATTTTCGAGGAGGCAAGCTAATTTTATGAATGCAAAGATCTGGGATAGACACTGACTGTTACAGCTTTCCTCTCAATTTCTCCTCTCCTTCATTCTTCTCTTCTACTTTCCTCTTCCATTCTTCCTCTCTCTATCAGTAGACTCGCAACCCAGGTTCCATGTACCAGGAACCTGACGAAATTCTTGAGAAAGGATGTACAACGGGGTGCATACCCATGTACAAAATAGTTTACATGTCAATGAGTATATCAATCAGCTAAATCTTCCATTGAGTACAAAGATTGACCCATAGCCAAAAAATCTAGAGTCTGGAACCACCTCTCGTAAAGTTTTTCAATACCCTCCTCTACCCTATTGGGAATCAATTCCAAATGTTTTTTCCGACCAGAAATACCCTTCGAAGTCAAATCTCATCACTTATAGGACCAACCATAACCCACTTGAATCCCAGAACCCCATAACCCATAGACCATAGACTATATGCAATAGGGTACCAAAGTAGAATATTGTCATAAGTCTCTTCCGCCCTCTTACATAAACAACGCCAGTTTACCATAATCTTTCCTTTTCTCATCAGTTTATCGATAGTCAGGAAGCAGTCCTTTTTAGTAATTTAGTCTTATACACGAAATGTAGACTGTGAAACCATTCATTTAATGTCATTGCTCATATAGGTTTTTGATGTTAACTTTTTTTTTTCCATTTGAGATATTTTTTCATGAATCACCAAAATAGATGATAAAAAAGTCATTTCATCAAAGAAAATATCTATGAAAAATCCAAATATAAACAATCTTTTATTTCCCTTTTTTGTTAGTACCTTTTCCTTGGGCATCTATATTTTTCAAAATCCCCCATATCTCAAAAAAATGTATATATTTTTCAAAATCCCTTCCTAAAAAGACAAAATAAAGATTTAATATATTTTATTCATACTGCACCAGTATACTTGTTGAATGTTATTCAGCTGATTTTTTTTATTGCTTGCATACTGGAGCAGAAATGATGGTGTGGAGGATCGGTATAGTGTTTTGATAAGATTTGATAGTCAGGACTCTACAGATAAATTCTACCAGCATTTTAGCGGGAGACAGTTTAATTCTTTGGAGGTATGCTTCATTCTCTCTATCTCTGAGATTTTGGGTGGATTGGGCAAAAGAAATATGAAATGGTATTAGTTCTTGCAAGATTTTGGAAGGTTTATGAATTAATATGAATATTGACACTGGTAATCTACTATTACTGCTATCGAGATTTTTGTTGTTGTTTTTATTGTTGTTATTATTATTATCTATTTCCTGAGTCAGCAATGTTTTTGTGATTAAATTTTTATTCTTATGTTTGTGCAGGTAGAGGTCTGCCATGTACTTTTTACTGTTGATGTACAGTTTACTGGTTATAGTGGTTCTCTGGATCATGCACAGCCTTCCCCTGCAAGTGCAACTGAACCGCCTTCCTGTCCAGTTTGCCTTGGTATGGTTTTATATTGAATTTCATTTATATTTCATTTTTTTATTTATTTCGAAAAAATATTTCCTTTCTCAATTACTTGTGCTCAAAATCGTGGGCAATTTAACAACACTATGGCAATTATTGGAAACAACTTACTGCTGCTTATGAAGTTCAGTGGCCTCCTTAGACACAGTTTGCACAAAACTAGAGCACTAGCAACCTGAGCAGATAGATTTCCAATAGGAATTCTTTATGCCTTTAGTACTTCATTTCTCCATCTTTGGCCTTTCCCCATAATTTATGCACATCCATTGTCAATGGTTATGGACGTAGCTGGTGATTTAAAATGATAATAATTTCCCAGACTCTTATTAGTTTACACTCTAAGACTCTTGTTGTCATTTACCTGACTTCTGAGGTTCACTGATGATTCCATTGCGTCATATGTACGTTTCCCTGTAAGGTGAGGTTTGAAAGTGGCATTTAAAGGAAACAAGTTTGCATTGACTAGAAGTATATTGTTAGTTAGTTCTGCTGATTGGACATCTTGCTAGGCGTGGTTAGTTCTGTCTATGAACTTTAAATTATTACTTAAGCCATTTTGATTTCATGCTCTTTTTTCAGGTTTTGGGTTCATAATGCTAATGAAGAGATAATATCTAGATTTTATGGCTATTAAGTGGACAAAAATGAGACCTTACTAGTAGTCAGTATTAGTTGTTGAAATTCTTGGAAGAGCAACGCAATAGGTTTCTGGGTCAATAGTTTATTCTTTGGATCTTAGGATCTCGAAACTGTGGATTAATATGGTTTTTAACTGTACAGTAAATAGTGTAAATTTATGGTCCTAGGTCATTGTATTTTGTCCCTCACCCATTTTGGTAAGTTTTGAATTACAAATGTTTTGTTGGTCTAAGTTGATTTCATGTAAATTTCCTGTTCATTAATTTTTCTTTTTTTTTTTCGGTCTTGATTTTTCATTGTTTAGTGACCGTACATTGTTGTATTTGTATTATTTTGTCTAAGTTTTCCCTTAGTATATGTAGATTGTGTTGAAGTTATCCATATCACAAAATTGCTAGTTTATCCAAAGCAAAATTTATCTTATTTTCCTACTATTGCAGAGAGATTACACCAAAACATAGGTGGGATTCTTACAACTATCTGCAATCATTCTTTCCACTGCTCTTGTATTTCAAAATGGACGGATTCGTCTTGTCCGGTAAGATATGGTGACTATTCCTACATTATTCTCTTGTAGGTGTATGTGCATGATATGGAACCTTGAATAGCATTGATGAACTTATGATATCTAAGGATGAGCATGTGCGTAATTTTTTTTTGGATAAAAAAAGAAGTATTATCAAAGATGGAAAGAAGGGAAGAATAATAGATAAGGAGAATGAGACATCCTCCGCCGAAAGCCTAAGGAAAAGCTAAAGAATAAAGAAAGACTGGCAAACAATTATTCCCTATTTATTAACGATAAAAGCTTCCTAATTACAATGGAGCTCATGAATGCTTGTGGATGGGTATTATCTAAGTGCCTTCAACCGTACTGTTGTCAAAAAAGTTAACCTTTCC